TACTTCGAAAAGTCGACTTTCCATTGTTTTTACATATTTTTTAAATATTTCTTCATAATTATGAGTAACTAGCAGTTATACTGTTGAAGAAAAAGATTTTAAGGACAATTTAATAGTTAATTTTAGGAGTTTGAGAGGGAAAAGTCATGAAATGTAAACCCTCCCTGGAAATTGACTACAATCCAATATTTTTTAACAGCATGAAGATGAAAACTCTCAAGTTCCTTGAATTCTCATTCAACATTGTGACGAGGCCCATTCATTTATTTTTATTATTTTTATTTCACATTTTTCCCCAAACACACTCAGGCCCCTGAAATGTAAATCCCGCCCCGTTGGATTCCCCTTCCCCAGATTTTTCCCCTCGTCACCCCTCACCCCTCGCCCATGGAATCAACCACGAACAGCCACCGAAGGAAGCCATCAGTTCCGGCTCACTCAACTTGACCGCAGAGGCCGGTGCCCCTTGAAAACCCCCCAGATACCAGCCCTAGAAATCTACCGCCCTCGAGATGCCCCATTGACACATCCCTGGACAATGACGGAGGACACAGTGAGATAGTCCTGATTGGTTATGATCTCTTACGAAGATGCCCCGAAAGAAGGAGCGGAGGAACACGACAACTGGCGAATCCTCGCGAAAGACGAAGGAGAGAAAGGAAGAGAGGAGAAAGATTCACTCGTGCAATAGCTGCCCTGTAAATTGCCACGTGCGTTACGAAATCGAGATAGCGAACGGAGAAAAATACCCCGGAAGTTAATTTATCGTGATATTGGCGGAAAAGAGGATTTTTGGTGGTCCACACGAGCTTTTCCCAGTTCTAGATCTTGTGCCCTGGATTCTGAGAGGTGGAACGAAGGCCCTGTCCCCGAAGAAATTCTGAGGACATTTGGAGGATTTATTTGAACGTGTGGGTTGCACTTAGAAGTCGACGTGAGTACGAGTTATTCCCCTCATTTTCTCCTTGCCCCCAAGTATTATCCTAGTCTATCCCCCCAACGGTGCACCACACTTGTTTTTTCTATTTCTCCCCTTTGATTTATTCTCATTCAATATTATTTCTGGATCTTATAACTCCCCTAGACACGACTAAATTCTCCCCCTTTTGTTCAAACCCTAGAAGAATCACCCCAGTTGACGTGTACAAAAGTTGCCTGGCCTCCCCCACTTCCCTAGTTCTCAATTGAAGGCCTATTTAACGTCTTTGGATGATCTTATTGAAAAATTTAAAGAGAATATATTTTGGTATACCAATCTAACCCTCATTTGCTCTTTTTCTTTAGTTACCCTACTCCTCATTTCAGGAATTAGATTTAATTAAATTACGGAAAAGGTCACAACATATGAATATTCTGTACCTAATTACTTGACAGTTTTGAATGCTAAAGCAATTATAATTGTCCAAATCGAAAATAGAATTATTTAACTTTCTTAATGTTGCGTTTAGTAAGGTTTTCTCCAAAGTTGATTGGAATCAATAGCGCGAATTATGAGATTATAGAATTTGAATACGACACAATGAAAACCATAATCAATTTTTTCGCTTAAAGAAATTATAATAATATTCAAATTAAAAAATTGCAGAGAACAAGAATGATGATATTTGTGTCATATCCTCTGAATCATTAACATGAATGTCAGATTTACGAAAAAGGATGGAGCAGAAGTCACACGGTCATTTCAAGTTTTCATTTTCAATTTGGTGCTGGAAACATGAGATGACGATATTCAGAGGGTAGCCAGTTTTTTCCGGATGTAAGATGATTCGACAGTTTTCCGGAGAATTCAAAACAATTGCGAGGCTTTCTGAAAGAATTGGAGAAAATCGAAAATTCGAGAAAACTGAATTTTTCGAAAATTAGATGAAATTTTGGGTATCTCTCAAATATTACAGAATTTTTGAATAAACAATGAGAGAACAATTGATAGGAAAAGGTGGAATTTTCCAAATAAAACTGATGTGAAGGAGTCACGAGATTCCAACAACTGCATTCTGATTGATGGAAATGAGAAGGAGGAATATAATTTTTAAAAATTCGAAAAATTCCTCGCATTTTCTCAACAATTTCACAAACATTTTTTTTCTCAATTCACAAGAATTTCAGAATTTTATGGAGAATTTGAAAAAATTTCAGATGATTCATGATTCAAGTTTCAAGTAATATAGTATTTAATAAAATTGTCAAAAAGATCATGAATGAGGAGACGATCCTTCGAATTAGCAAAAGAGCATCAGAATCGGTCTTATAATTTTTTCCAGAGGAATAATTGAATGCTGTTGTAAAGGTGTAAAGGAGAATAAAAGGGGCGGCGAAGACTAAAAAATTATGAGTTGAGAGAAATTTGATAATTATTGTTTTGTAATCTGAATCGAATTTTGATTATAATTATAGTTAGAACCTCATTCAAAGAGCACAGAAATTCAGAATCAGTGAATCACTTATTGAAATATTGACATTGAACAGGCAATCAACCGATAACCATTATTTTCATTAATCTTAACACTCAGTATAATAAGACGATGGTAAATCATTAAGTTCTGAAAGAAACACAAGGAAAAAATGAAAAAAAGACATAATGAAAGGGCATCGGCGTTAGCGAATATGAAAAAGGAACCTTTCAGCTTAACTGAGATAATAATGCAGAGCCGAAACTGTTAAGACCAATAGGAATATGAAAATTTTAGAGTAGATCCTATTGCTAAGGCATGCTCATTAAGAGAAGATTTTTGGAAATAAATGATGATGTGTTTCAACTTCTTTATAACATCCACCTCTAATAAGATGAATAGGGGATGAATTATAAGAACCTTAAGGAAGTGTAGAGGGTCTCTAAAAAATCAGAGAATTGTCGTCTTTTTCCGAATGTAAGATGATTCGGAAGTTTTCCAGAGAATTTAAAAACAATGGGAGATTTTCGGAAAAAAATCGAAAAAATCCACGAGTTTTTGGGATTTTATGGAGAATTTGACAAAAAATAAGATGATTCATTAAAGTGTCAAGTTCATGCCATCGTCGAATAAAATTGTGAAAAAGATCATGAATGAGGAGCAAATACTCCGAATTAACAAAGGAGCATCAGAATCTGTTATATGATTTTTCCAGCAAAAATTAATTAAATGCTTTGGTAAAGGTGTAACGGAGAATAAAAAGGGTGGCGAATACTAAACAATTCTGGGTTGTGAGAACTTTAATAATTATCGTTTCGTACTCTGCATAGAATTTTTATTATAATTATAGTTAGAACCTTATTCAGTGAGCACAGAAATTTTTTATAAATCGTATTTTGTACAGTGATGAAAATTACCCCTTTCATGTCGGACGAAGGCAATTTCCAATTAGATTAGCTTTTGCTGTGACAATAAATAAATCACAAGGTCAAACCTTTGAAAGAATTGGAATAGATCTCAGAAGACCCGTTTTCAATCATGGTCAATTATATGTCGCCTTATCACGTGTTCGTTCATGGAATTCTCTCAAAGTATATTTAGTAGGAGAGAGAGAAACAAATGCTGTGAAGAATCACGTATACACAGAATTGTAAAACTGATGAGCTTTCGGAATAGGATATTTCACTGCAAGTGAGAAAGACAGGCATTCATTAGTCAAACTCTTTACCTCTCATTATCCGATTATATTGATTATTGCCTTAGAAGTAAATCTTCATCAGGAAATGCCGTGACCGAGACATGACTACAAATTCATGCTATCGCATCTGAAATTTCACTACCCCACTGTGCCCGATAACCGTAATGCGTTGGAGACGCGAATTGATAATTTTGGACTGTCAATAGTGATTGCTAAAAAGCAATATACCTATGATAGAAGCTCTGACACCCGCCTCTTTGTCTTAGCTACCCTTCTTTTCCCCGGTCTCCCCTAGTCCTTATATGCCCTCTCCTGTGACGCTGTGTGTCGTGGGGGGGGGGGGCGGAGTGGTTGCCATTCATTTTTAATTGAGCAGCTGATCAATTAAAACCGGAAGGATGGTTTTCTAAATAGGGCTCCCTTGATATCCTCTATCCCTGTTGAGGTTGTTAGTGTTTTTATAGATCCCCAAGCCCTCTCGATATCTCCCTTTGAAATATCCTTGAGATTTGGCCAACATTCTTCCTTGATCATACTGGACAGTATATCCAAAGTCCCTCTAGTGTTCATCCAGGGCAGACAGTTCGATGCAACCGTATTTGGAACACCGCTAGTCTTCCTCGATCCGTGTACCGATCTTCCTCCCGGTTTCTCTAAAGTACACTTTTTCGCATGAGAGGGGTGGTGATGGGAGGTAGTATTGAGATACCTATCTGTATGTGTTGGCTTGCAATACACCTCGTGGCCGAGAGTGCCATCCTTGTTGCGTCGAAGCAGGACCGCTAGAATTGATAGACATCCGTCTTGTTCAATTTCCATGGTGAACTTGATGGTGTATGCTGAGAATTCGAAAACTCCAACAATTAGTTTAGGCCAGTCTTCCCGTGTGACCAGATGACAAAGATATCGTCCATATACCTGAACCACACAATAGATTTTAGAGGTGTTGACTGCAATACTTCGTTCTCAAAGTGTTCCACAAATATATTTGTAATAATCAGGGAGATGGGGGAACTCATGCCTGCTCCTGATTTTTGCGCATAGTACTCTCCTTCGAACTGGAAATATGTAGAAGTCACGCAGTGCTCAGTCAAGGGCAAGAATTGGGGAGAAATGTCCTTGGATTTCAGGATGATTTCCAAGGTTTCTGGGATTAGAACATTTGTGAAGAGTGATTCCAAATCAAAACTCACTAGGATATCATTCAGTGAAGTCCTGAGATTTCTCAGTTTATTGACGAAGTGCAGTGAGTTCTGGATGTATGAACCATTCAAGCCAGTCAACTTTTGGACTGGTTCCGTAAAAAACTTGGCCAGTTGGTAAGTTGGCGCTCTAATGTTGCTGACAATGTGATTGAGAGGAACAGACTCTTTATGGAATGTGGGGAGTCCTTAGACTAAGGGAGAAAAACATTATTTAAGAATGAGTACTTGCGTCAGATCGGCCGAGAGACCAGCCTTCTTCAGGAGATCAGCAGTTTTTCCCTCAATTATACGAGTCGGATCCTTCTTGAGTTTAGTGTAAATTCTGGAATCACCAAACATTGCACTGAGCTTTCCGGAGTAGTCGTCCTCATCCATAACCACCGTCGTATTGCCTTTGTCCGTCGGCAGAATAATGATATCATTATGCTCCTTTAGACTACGCACTGCAAGAGGTTCCACCCTGGTGATATTGTCACTAGTGGATGTAGCCTTGTGAAAGATGTCGGACAACTGCCTCTGGATCTCATTGCCATTCTCCTCGATCCGACTGATGATTTCCTCAGTTGAAATTTTTTTGGGCGCAACAGCAAAGTTGTGTCCTTGTGCCAACACTGACACTTGTGCTTCACTGAGCTGATAATTGTTCAGATTCTTCACAGTGTGAGTGAGGGTCGGGACTTTCTCCTAGGGGATAAACCTTTTGAACTTACCCTTTTGGCTCTCAGTTCTCGTCTCAGCTGTTCGGACTGATTGTTCATGTATACATGAACAATCCGTCCGAACAGCTGACACGAGAACAGCTATAACACGGCCAACCGTCTCTTACAGCTGAGAATCCAACGTGTGAGCCAGAAGAAGGTGTAAGGATATTTTTCCGGGTTGTTCACCCAGGAAAAACCCGAACTACTTTTTAGCCTTCTCTATTGCTCATATGTTGGGCGTCAGCCAAACCTTTATAGAAGGTTCGACGAAAACTGGCCTCTGCGACAATCTCGTGTACTCAGAGGACTTTTCTGGCTGGACAATTGATTGCCTACTTTGGTCTACCCCGATACAGCCTTTACAGTCGCCCATTTAGAACCCCTGTATGTCGGACCACTTTCCCTTAAACATATCTGGGCGAGTTCTGAAATAGCGAAAGGCTAGTAATTTCCTCCAGACTTTCAGAGCTTGCGGATCCGTCCAAAACCGCTATGCCTTCAGTCTGTCATTGGTCTGTGGCTCTTCTCATCTAGTCCCGGCTCCTCCAGCCGCTTCTAGATGTCTCTTCCAGTCTCTCTTTATAATTTCAAGAGTTAAACTATCTTTTTAGAGTATTTCAACCCGTAACGAGAAAATCTTATTACAAAGGTGAAGATCCTAGAGCTGTCTGCAGAGACGGCCCAGGTTCTTTTGAGCCACTGCTATTCTGTTCTTGACCAGTCGCAGTGAAGCTTGGCGGAGAATGGAATTGATCTGCTTTGAAGGGATAGAATTCCTCAGACGGCAGAATTTTGGGATCACTTAAAGATCACGGCACCTCTTCAAAAAAGTTAGGGAGCACAATTGGACATGCAAGGACTTTCTATGTTTGGTGAATAAATTCACTGATCCAAGAATAGCCTCTTCGTGGAGGGGTTTTGAGGCTTTCACGGCCATGGGTATTGATATCATTGGCTTCCGGATGGATGCCGCTTTTGGTTTCAGCGTTGCGGCGACATTTCGCAAACATTGCAGGGTGCATCTTCAGGGCTATGAGGTCCGATTCGAAACTCCGATATCTGGGGGTAGTCCTTACATGTCCTGATCAATTCAAAATGATTGGCAGCCCTTCTCCTCTCCCCTCCTGGTGTTGTTCCGCAGAGCACAATTTTCTGATCCTTATTTTTATTTGCTTCACGAATGACATTGATAGTGCTATATCAAATTGTAATTATATTGTCTACGCTGATGACCTGCAGATTTATCTTTATTGTAAACTGAATGAGCTTGATGCTGCTGTTGACTTGGTCAATGTAGATGCGGAGACTATTAGCCGTTGGGCTGATAAGAACGGACTGAGATTAAATGAATCCAAATCCCAATGAATTCTACTCGGTTCTCCCAAAATTGTGAACAGCTTGAATGATATTCCAAAAGTCTGTGTCACGGGTGAACTCAGCTAGTTGTAAAATCTAGGAGTAATTCTTGATGCCAAGCCATCATGCCGGGTTTAGGTTCGATCGGTTGCCGCTAAGGCTCACTTTTCACTGCATCAATTGAGAGTTTTTAAACAGTTTTTACCTAGTCATGTTCGTGTATGGTTGGTCAAGTCCCTAGTTCATCCTCATCTCGACTATTGTAATGTCCTATTAACGAGCTGTTCTAGTGAGATCCATTACAATCTCAAGAAATTGATCAATAGTGGAATTAGGTTCATCTACAATCTATGGAGGAATGACCATATCAATCCGTCTGATGTAAAACTGAAAGGCTTAGGCTCATGTCTAAGTATCAAAGACTATTGTTCTCGGGTAATCTGACGTATAAAATTGTAGCGAAGAAAACACCACTTTACCTTGCTGATCGATTAATATTCAAAAGAGACGTAAACCAGAAAACTCTGAGCGGTATTGCTTTAGATCTTAAAATTGTAAACTCCAGAATCAACTATGGTCTTGCATTCTTCTCTGTCTGCAGCGTCTCTATGGAATTCAATTCCTCTATGCATCAGCGATGCCAGTGGGGAAAAACCCATGTGGGGAAAAATCCCACGCGTGGGATTTTCGTGCGCAGCTCTCTCGCGCACTCCCCAGGTCCCCACTGCTGGACAGACGCAAAGCCCATAGCTGAAACCTAGCGAATTTAATTCCGGAAATAATCCTTCAAATAGGAAGCAAATGAATGTCATGCGGAACAAAAATAAATGACATTAGTGCAACATTTTACTTATTAATTATTTAATCTGTGTTCCCTCTTCCTGATTTATTCGTATCCGTCCAAGATTTACAAACTTGAGACGGTCTTTTAATAGTCTTCCAACCAATGTTGGGCATAATTGATTGAAAAATTGATTTCAAAATAGAGATTAACGCGTGAAAATTTAAGGCAAACTTCCTTTTTATACCACTGATAGGTAGGAAACTTTCTGAGATCGTGGCAATGAAAATTTCCGGAGTAGAGATCGAAATAAAGGGAAAAATAAAATAAAAACACGAAATTCAATATGGGTAAAACAAAGGGTCACAAATAAGAGTCAAAATGAAGGGTCACGAGGTTTAGGTCTGAAAGTCCGAAATAAAGGTAAGAATGAGTAGGTGATAAACAAGGGTAAAAGGTAACTATTTTGTTCATCTAACGAAAAATGAAAAATTCTGACGCGCCGAGAGAGTATTATTTTGCGAACAGTCAGCTGTAAAAAGCAGTGGTAAAAGATTCGATCTAGAATGTTGGAGATGCAACTTCGATTTCCGTCAAGCCGTTTTTTTCTAATTTGTAACGAGATTTTCTCGTTACGGGTTGAAATCCCCTTAAAAAGATACGTGAACTCTAAAATTGAGACATGAGGCGATATCTAGAGGCGGCTGAAGAAAGCCGCGACTAGATGAACTGAGCGACAAACCGATGAAAGACCTAAGGCATAGCGATTATGGGTGAAACCGCGACCCCTGGAGGTCTGGAGGACGTTACTAGACTATCGCTATTTTGGAATTCGCCCAGCATGTGCTAGGGGAAAAGGGGCCGACGTACAGGCTGTCCAACTGGGCGATTCCATAGGCTATGTCAGAGTAGACTAGGGACCAACGGCCAGGTGAGAGGACTGGTGCCCCCGGGATCCCGTCGGGTTGATTGGTGGGGATAGGGTAACGGAATGACCTATCGTCGCTGAGATATCCAGACTAGGGGGAGAAGGTCCTAGTAAGATTCTGAGTTAGTCGAACGCGGACGCTCGAGCGGGGAAGTCGAAAGGATTTCTCCGATATATACTGTGGTGTTGGCTTGAAAGATGGCCACGGGAATGGTGGGCGAATAGCTCAGCGCAGCCAGGTGTATAACTGATGGTAGCGAGCGTACGGGGATGCTCGTGCATCTCCCACAAACGGAAAAAAGAGTTATTTCGGAACTCGTAGTGACGACTTTGTTGTTTCCGGCGTTATCCGGCTCGGCGAAACAAATGTCGTACGCATGGGCCCTGGGTCTGGAGTAGAGATCGTCCTCCTGTCGACCCGACCATGTGCCGACATTCGAGTACCCGGAGACGGTGACGTGCGATGACCGAAGTGGTAACTGGTGGCCGAGAGCATGGGTGGTCGTGAAGTGGGTAACAGTGTTCCACTTTGGTCGGATCAGCCTCTCGGCGTCCCAGGCTCTAAGGAGTCCCGGCTGATTCGCATCTAATTCTGAAAACACTCCCGAGTCGAAATACTCGGGAGGCGAAAGCCTACTGAGAGAGTGAAAAACCCTCCAGGACGAGAATAAATTCACTTTACATGGATGATTAGGCCGTGAGGCTTAATTTCCAGCCTGAAATAGTGACTGGTGACGTTTGGCATAAGATACTCCTGGTGGACCTCGCCCACTCTACCGTGTCACACTGATGCTAGCTGGGCAACCCTTTGCCCGGCCACAGAAGTCCTCTGAGTGGACGCGTTTGCCTCAGAGGCCGGTTTTCGTCGAACCTCTCATGAAGGTTCGGCTGGCGCCCGACTATTGAGCGATAGAGACGGCTAAAAAGTAGTTTGGATTTTTCCTGGGTGAACAACCCGGAAAAATATCCTTACAAATTTTTTAATTTTTTTCCAATTTTTTCATTTTTTTTTTGTTTAAGGAATTTCTATATTGGGTGTAGATGTTCAGATATCATCCAATTTTTTTTTTTTTTATAAAGCCCAAATTTAATATGAATTTGAATATTGAAGAGATTAAAGATGAATATTAATGGACAATGAGAATGGTTATTGACTAAAGCATTTTCAATAGAACTTTGACAAAAAAGCTTTGATCAACCGCGGATACGGCAATTATAGAAATATACAAATCGTACTTCTAAATCTTTCGAGACTTATTCATTTTCTCACAGCTGGGGTTGCTGTATACTTAGTAATGTAAGTTAAGAATCAGCTGTATCGACTCCAAGATGGCTATAGGAGAATATAATCCGTTAGGCCAGTGTTTATGGAGACTCGCAGCTATAAAACTCTCTGAATGTAACGAACAGTATAGAGATGTTATATCTAAAATCTCAACATACTACAGAAAGCTACCTTGGGTGCACAAAAATGATGCCTTTCAAAACGGAAAAGGAGAATCAGGCTGTGGATCGCATGGGCGAGAAGATTGTAACCTGTCTGGTATCGTGATATCCAGATTTGACGCACCTTTAACACTGTTTTCAAATTTAATGGCAGAAAATATTTGTTGTCTCGAAATATTCAAGGCCAAAAGAAAGATAGATTTTCATTAAGATGAAGAATTGACAGATTTGCCTTGAGTGAGAAAGACCTGGGTGGTAGGGCAGAATACACTCAAGATACTAGATGTGAGTGCATTGTGATTTACCAGGACGTAGTTTGAAAATTTGTTGAACAACCTTTGGAATGTTGAATTTTTTTCCACTGTTTCTTGATTTGATGAAGTTTACTGTTTCATACGCTGTTCCTTATTTGAACTCCGCCATTAAAAATGTGCAGGATAATCGAACTAGATGTTGAACAGCAGTTAATTTTATTTCATTCATAAAAAACCACAATTTTTCAAGAGTAGACTTTGTTAACGACAAAGAGAAACATTAACATCAGTC